TAAATAAAAAATCATTAATTGTTATTCTTTATAAAAAAATAAATTTTGACTAATAATGTTACCATTTGATCAATTAGGTATGCAATTGAAAGTGTTTGATTGAAATTTGCTGTTGGTAAAATGTTTTTGCACTGTGTAAGAACAAAATCAAAGGTGTCAGTAACCACAGATGGCGCATCTTCAAATGATAATCTATTGGCATCAATTGCATGTATATATTCTTCACCAACACAAAAGGTAAATTGACGAGATAGCATTTCAGTGTCCACTATAAAAATTCATAATTATTATTATTTTAATCAAAACAAAATAAAACAAAAAAAATTTTTAAAATATTAACACTTATTTCTTTTAAGACAATTTCGTCTAAAGGGCATATCTTCAGCTTGATAACGACGAAAAATATCATCGCATTTTTTAGTGATATGTTTATTACTAATTAAATGTAATATATAACCACCTTCAGGTAAATTATATTTAATCAATAACTGCTCTTTTGATAAAATTTGACGAGTTATAGTAATATCGCTGCTTTTCGTTATTGATCCTTCACAATCCATTGCAGGTGCAATGAATATAAGTCGATGTGGATTAGATAACATTGAAGCTTCAATTATTTGATGTGGTACAAAATGTTTATACTATATAACAGAAAAAGTCAATCACCCTTTTCAAAAAAATAAATCTAAAACCTATAATATAAAAATACATACATTGCAATTCAAACATTTCCAACCATGCCAGTCTTTACGACATGATAAACGACCACATCTTCTACAATGAAATCCTCTCCAAAATAAAAAACCAAAATCTTTAAAATATGAATTTTTATTTGAAGATGGTAATAATGGACTTGTTGATGGTGTTAAAGGTGGTGGCATTACTGAAAAGGGCAGATTTAAATAATTCATAGATACAAAAAGACCAGGTTTCAAAAACTCATCAACATATTCCAAATCCTTGGGAATTGATTCCCACACATTATCAAATCTGAAAAGCTTTATTTTATTGATAATGTTATTGAATAAAAATAAAATACAAATATGAGCACATTTTATTGTTATGAAAATTTTACCTCCCAAAAATGTATGCATTCATGATTTAAGCAAATACAGCCCTGCTTAAATATTTTACTGGATGATTTCGAGCATTCAGGGCATTTAAAGGGCTTTAAAGTACTTGAGCCTAAAGTGTTTAATGAAATTGTTTCACTCGGACTTTCCCACCACGGTTGATACTGTTGTTCTCTGATCCATTCGAAACGAAATTTCCAACGCATAAATTGTTGAGGGCCTTTATCATCATTGTTAACTTTTGATGTTTTATTATCATTAAGTAAAGAAGCCTTGTTATATTCATAGTTATCGTTATCATCAACTTTATCAACTTCCATTTCTTGATTTTGTGAATCTTCATACTCTGGCTAAATTTAATAAAAAATTCTTTAAAATCAAAATTTAGCATATCAAAATTTCTAGATCTGGAAAGAATAAAAATTATATACTGAACCCAAACGTGAGTTATCATATAGAATCTATTTATAATATTTTAAACTATTAATATAAACTCTTTCAATATAAAAGAGCATTATCCATCAAAAGAAAAAAATCTCAATACCCAAGAACACAATAACGCGCGGGCACATGAAAACTTGCTTTCTTTTTATTTCCAATTAATAAAACAACAGGCTTATTATATAGATAATTGTTTATAAGTGATTTAATTGAACTGTCATCAAGTAATTGAGATGCAATTAATCTAAATTTTCCGTTCTTGCCTTTAAAACTCTTCCCACCACTATCAATTGATTGATTCATATTTCTTAAGAAAATAACTAATTTTAAAATTCCAAAAAGTCTAATAGTTGCATATTTACCCATGAGAAATTATCACACGTCCATTGCAAACATCTCTTGACGAACCAAATCCATCTACCAAAAATCCATATACTGTATTCATCTGAAAATATACACCACTCTGCCACGCTCGGAAGTAATCTAATGACTCGCAGAGTTCTTGACGAGTCTATAACAAATACACGCAGACGCATAAATAAGTAAATTGGTATATATGCGTGCATATATGTTTTATTATTATACCTGAGCCCAAACTTTTGGCCGTCCAATATTGGCCGGTGTGAACTCCATGATATCATTTCCCTCCAATAAAGGATATTCAGAAAACTTGTTTTTCTCTTCAATGGGTGCAAATTTATTAATCATGTTTAAAATCAATCCATCGGTTAATTATAATTTTATAGTATTAAAATAAAATGTATTTCTAGTATACTATAGTATAAGATCTTCGTATTACATGCATAATTGTTATATGTGGCATGCAGGGACTACAGTTAGGGATATTACAGGACCGGGGAAAACTTTATTGAATGTCACCGTCAAATTAAGCGTTAGGAAATAATTTACCAAAAATGGGCTAGTTAGTAACTCCTATGAAGTATTTTTTTTCCTTGTTTTAATTCTTTATTTATTGACCCGGATTATAGTGTCGCGGTTACCTTTCCTTTTTTAGAGTACTTTCGAATCATAGTGTTGGTGGTAATATTCAATAGAGTTTTCCCGGTCCTGATATTACCCTAGATGGAAATCGTGGTGATCGACGTTATAAAATTTTATTTAATTGGCTAAATTTTATGCGGACTCTCGTTGAATAATAATCTAGAAAAACATGGCGGAGCTTTATTAACTGGTCATATAACTTCTAAATTACAGGATTACGCAATATGAGAATGTCTTTTTTTTGTATTTAATATATAGCATAATGTTATATACAAATCCAATATTTTTTTCCTAATAGCTATTATTGATATCTCATTTAATCCAAAAGAATTGATAATAAACATAACCGATTAATATTATGTATGTTCTCTGGTTATAATTAAATTATTCACTTTACCCATTGAATATGTTACACATAAAAATCAGAACAATATTCCTGATAACCCATAAAACAATAAATATATAAATTTAGTATACATCATGATAAAGTTATGTAGATTATTCTAAAATTGATTTCCATCTAGGGCAATATCTCTGACTGTATAAGTACTAATCATGTAAGTGGGTTTTTTAACCCGTCTGTCTGATCGATTTTGAGTTAAGACCATTTCTATATAGACAAAGTGAACAATTGTCACTATGGTGCACGTTATCTAACGTCAAAATGATCACCTGATTTAAACACAGAATTTTTTTTTGATATATAAATTTCGACTAAAATTCTTTTCATAAAACGTAATTTATCGCTGATAAGTTTCCTTAGTTTGTGTTACTACCAGTAAAGATAAAAATTTTTTATTAGCGAATTAGAATTAATTAAATGTAAATGATCGATATATAAGATTTCGGGACTATTGATATTTATAGATGATGTGAAGCCAAATAAATTATTGACCACTAAAAATAGTGTAAATTTGCACCCAATCCAAGGGCTGATTGACATGAGATGAATTATTAATATTTTTCACTCATTAAGAATTATTCTCTGTTGCCTTTTTTTTAATGATAATTTTCACTATTTCAACAAATAATATTCCCTTTATGCTTTCATTTTTGTAGTCATTTATTTAATGAAAAATTAATCAAATTAGTTCAATTCAATATTCGAAATTTCCAAAATTTGTGTCTTCTGGTAAATTGCACATTCTCTCTATAACGGTTTTTTCTATACCAGTTTTCACTCTATAACGAACTGAGAATTTATTATCACTAATACTACCATTATTACCATTGCCATTGCTATCATTATTACCATTAGTAGTAGCAACATTACCATTATTACTATTATAAAATCTCGCAGTGTGTGCGGTATTTGGATTTATATATTGAACTTTTGTTGTGCCATCATGGAATAACACTGCAGAGAATTTGATTTGATGTCTGATCATCCATTACGTGATAAGCCATTAATCTTATTATTAACCTTTTACCTTTTACTTTCTATTTTATGTACATGACGGAATGGAAAATCGCTAAATTATAACAGAGCCAAAGTTCAAAGTATTGTTTATTTTTTTTCCAACAAAATCTCCGTCGCCAATAGAAATTCTATTTTCAAGGTTTCAACAAGATTATATATCAATATGATTATAAGCCAATTTTAAAATTCGTCTTATTACTATTATAATAATAATTACTAATTACAGTATAATTGAATATTTTTGCGATTCCCAAAAGTTCGGTTTGACTGTATAAACTATGGGTTTTTTCTAAAGAATCAGAATTCTTGTCAGACACAGAAGAAATCGTCAATCAAAATTTTCAAGAGGAAGAGGGAGAAAATACACAAGTAGTAATTAATATTTTAAAAGTTTGTCTTTTATATATAATAAAAATAGGTTATATTGAAAAGAAGTCATTTATCATGTAAATATAAATATATTTTCTGATTTACAATTTAAAAAAGAAAAAAGTAAATAAATTAAAAGTTTAAAGATGATGACAAAATGACAAAGAGAAAGAGAAAAGTACAGAAAATAAAAAAGGGTTGTTTCTTGATAATTGTGATGTATTATGTGATCTTTGATTATTTTAAATTTATAATATATTTATACATAAGGCTCCGAATGAATCGAATCGAATTTGAGAGTGGTTCGATTCGATTCGAATTCAAAAAAATAGGATTCAATTCGAATCAAACTGGATTCCTAAAATTTATTTAATGTCATATTAAATTTATATTTTTAATGTGATAATTTAAATTTATATTACACAGTGAATTTCAATTATTGTGCCTCCATTTAATGAATACTAATGAATTGAGGTCTAAGAATGGTTTAATGATAATAAAATTCTTCTTGATATGA